ACAGGGAGAGGTAGGGCTGGTAAAAATAATACAGTTTCTTTATGCAGTTGAATAAATGGCCACCTAAGACATACTAAAACGCTTAAATGAAACACCATTAAAGAAATGGAAGAGTCAGGCCGGGCGTGGCTCAGCAGTTGAGTGTCAACCTAGGATCCAGGCGATAGGGGTTCGATTCCCGGTCAGGGCACATGCCCAGGTTGTGGGCTCGATCAATGACTCTCTCATCATTGATGTTTCTATCTCTCTCTTGCCATCTCCTGTCCTCTCTCTGAAATCAATAAAGATATATTTAAAAAAAAAAAAAAAAAAGGAAAGAAATGGAAGAGAATAAACAGATGATGGGCGTTACATAAGCTGCATTTCCAACTGCTGACCACCAAGAGGCATACTGGCACTACATGCAAATCAGTGGTATTGAAATGTTCTCTCAAATATCTTGAGCATTGCCCCATACCACATTCCTGTCTGATTTAAAGGATGTATACCTATAAAAATCTGTTCATTAGCCATCTCACCTGTGTATTAGGATATAGATGAGGAGGTGGTGGGGGAGGCAGTGCCCCTGGAGCATAAGGGTAACTGGGATTACCAAAGTTCATGACGCCTGGAGCAGAAAAGTAAGTAGGAGCAAGCAACTGCTGAGGTGGTGGCTGTCCTGGAGACATGGACACTGGTGGGGGATAGAGGCCCGGATTGGGCAGAGGCGCTGGTGTCTGATGGGGATGTAAACCTGAACAAGGAGAAAAAAACAAACTGAAATAGAAAATAACATCAGTTCCAGCATAAACAGGCTCAGGGCAGAAGTCCTCCGGATGGACCCATGAGATTCGTTGCCCAAGCAGCAGAGTGGCCAGCCTCATAGGCAAGCAGCACAGAGCTCAGGAGAATAGGGTTTGTAAAGTCCCCAACATACATCCTCATGTACTGGAAGCATACAAGGAGAGGTACAATACTTACCTGGGTGGGGAAGGTGCATTTCTGGCTGCACAATCATGCCCTGAGGAGGCAGTGGGGCAGGGCTGTCACCATGGGTATAGATTGGTCCCTGGAACTGCACTGTAAGATATCACATTGGGACTCTCATAAACTTTCATTATTTGTATTACATGGACAAGTTTCCCCATCCCCCAAACCCTTTAAGGGATATTCTCAATTTTCTATGTGAAGAAAACAGCAACCAATCATAACGAATAACCACTGTAAGCAGTCAAAAAAAATTCAGAAGGCAGGAGCCTGGTCTATTAGTTCGCTTCACTGTGCCAAAAAAGATACCCCAACAATAAGAAAAAAGCTCACGTGGATCATAGTAATGTCCCTCCATGATACTGATATGCACAGGAGGGGCAGGGGGCTCTGGAACAGGTCTCTGCCGCTGAGATGAATAGCGTTTGGCTCGCCCACCCTGGACACCCTGAAATAAAAAAACAGGGCTGAGCAAGAAGACTTCCAGAAGAATGACTCTCATTCAAGTCCCACCATCCTTTAGGTGGGACTTTGTACATGGCAAGTGTTTAAAAAGGAATGAAAAACATCAAGATTTTAACCTAAACCCTCTACGTTTTTGGAGACTCAAATTAAAAGAGACATAGGTAATTGATGAGAAAAGTTATTTCAAAAGCTATTACATGCAGCCCCCTCCCTCCATTTACTCCTTTCCCGTTCTGTACCATTTCTTCCATCCGGTTAAACTGAGGTGGAGGTCCTGCTCCCATGTGTATGTGGTTGTGCATACCTGTAATATACCAAAAAAGTCACTGCTGCAGAGAAGACAGATGTGAGACTCAAAGATACCATCAAGAAAATGAAGAATCCAACTGGTAAATGGCTTTTTGCTTATAAACTAACAAGATCCCTTTTAAACTATCTCTGCTTCCTGTCAACGCCAGCATTTGGAAATTTGCTCCCATTGCCTGCCACCTTAATTCAGCAATAAAGCCTTAGAAAATGAAAAACATTTACTTCAGTAGAAAATAAAAGTTCAAATTTTCCCCACCAAATATTTCCCTGCACAGAATCTCTGGGAGGTTACAATTAGCACATTATATTATCAAACACAGTAAAAAAATCTTAGTCCCAAAGTTTCTAAGCAACAACTGGACAGTGAGGGATGTTCTGTAAACCTACTCTGGCCACCAAGGTCTCGCCTAGAAATTTGGGAAGAGATTCCCCTCTGGGTGAAAATGGCTCAGAAAAAAACAACAGGATTACATTCTCGAGACTGTCTTCCAGTGATAATAAGATATCAGTAGAAGGTTATACTTGATCCAAAGATCAATTCCAGGTTCAGTTGAGACCACACTGATTTTTGCTGTTCAAAAACCATGCACACCAGAGAAGGATGCCGAAACTCCCAGTTTACATGAGGATCTCCAACCATTAAGTTAAAATTAGATTTCAGAAATCATGGAAAAGATTCTTTGTCCTATCTAGCTGGAGGAAGATAAAGGATGGGCAAAATGGGTGGTAGATAGGTCCTAGTATCTAGAACTGTGCTGTCCAATGTGATATTCACTAGCCACACGAGGCTATTTAAATTTCAACTATTTAAAATTAAAAGTTCAGTTACTCAAGACACCCTGACCAAATTACAAGTATTCAAAAACACCATCATTACAGAAAGTACTTTTGGGTAGCCTGGCTCTAGAAGATTAAGGAAATTATAGAAGCTTTCCTTTCAAAGAGATTAGGAGATTCTCATCCAAATTCAAATGAGTAAGTTTCTGCCTTCAAACTTTAATCATTAGCTCAAATAATAAAAGCACTGCTTTCTTCTTCCAGTTTTCCACAGTGTGGTAAAGGAATTTGTATCCAGGAGCTTTTCTGTTTTGCTTCCCAATCCTTACCCAGAATGTT